GAATGTGTATGTGTGTGTGTGTGTGTGTGTGTGTGAGAGAGAGAGAGAGAGAGAGAGAGAGAGAGAGAGAGAGAGAGAGAGAGAGAGAGAGAGTGTGTGTGTGTGTGTGTGTGTGTGTGTGTGTGTGTGTGTTGATGGGTCCAATACTTGGCTTTCTGAATCAGCTCTAGGGCTGTGGTCCTAACCTTGCAGCTAGGTTACAACTTTTTAATGGTGAGAAAGCCATCTGGGTCCCAGCACAGTGTTTAGGAGCCACTGATCTAAAATGGTCTCTTAGGGGCCTTTATTGTGATTGTCCTGAAAAAAAAATTAATTATCGTGTGACAATATAAAATACATGTATTTTAAAAGAAAAATCAGAAAAGTGGAGAACAAATGGTTCTCAAGGATGATAGCTTGTCTTCGTGACCCCACTGTTCCCCCACTTATGACACTTGTGAGATTTTTCATGGCTGTTAGTTTGCATAGTTATAATCAGATTACAAATTCAAATTGGCATCTCTTTTGGGATCCTTTCCACCAATTTTTATCTTAAAAGGATCTCCCTATATCTTAAGCATTTCCCCCAGTGGATGACTTCAAAGGGAAATGCCCACTTGCTAGTGTGGACCCCTCTCGCTCCCTCTGATGGGATACTTTTGGTTACCTGGGTGGAAGTACCTGCTCTCCCTGAGTCTGATTGCCGTGAGAGATGAGCACCAGTGATGATCTGTCTCTGGCCTCTGCAGAACCCTACAACTCTCTCTCTCTCTCTCTCTCTCTCTCTCTCTCTCTCTCTCTCTCTCTCTCTGCTTCACAGCGGCATTTGTGCTGGATGAGGACAGATGCATTGAGTCATTTGCTTCTAAGGGAAGCCAGGACAGGGCCTTCCGCACAGCTCATTGACCCTTTGGCCTTGGTGCCCTTACTGTTGCTGCTGATGGAATGGATTAGTGTCGGAATGGATGGGTCTGGCCTGGAAAACACCTCCTGAGCATTCCCTGTCAGCTTTCATTTGCTGCGGCTTGTTCGGCTGTTTTAAGGGTTGCAGTGGATTTCAGTATTAATTGGTGAAATCTCCAGTCAGAGAGCTCATTCGTCAGCCCCATTACAAGCTGCTCAGACTGAGAAACAACAGAAAAGTCAGAGCTGGATTGGGGGCAGAGCTGGCGCTCGGGACCAGAGGTTCAGGGGCAGCACTGATCCCTCTAAATGGCTCACAGGTGACAGAGGCCAGAGAACTGGACAGTCTCTATAGAGGAAACCAAGACACGGGGAAGTGATGGCTTAGTCCCTGGGTGGAGACCGAGGCTGGGGACCAGGACAGGGGTTGGCTGTGAGGTCCTGTTGTCCAGTATGACTGGAAGTGCTGAGCCAGGACATCTGTCATTGCTCTTCATTCAGGAGGTTCAAAAACTCACAGGGACCCCATCCTATGTCCATACTCCCCCCGAGCAGCTGTGCCTCAAAACCCACACCAGTGTCATGGCCGTGTGCTCATCCTCCCTTCTAGCCTTTCCAGCTCCCTTCTGGCCCTCCTCTCAGCTTCTCTCCCGTCCTTTCCCAGCATTCCTTGAGTGTAAGGCAAATCCAAAGCAGTTTGCTGCAGTGCCACAGGGTCTGCCAGCCAGTGAGTGACACGCTGGCCCTCCAGAGAGGTGAGTACCACTAAGGGGCCTCAGGAGTTCATGCAGAGGCCTCATCCTAGGCTTGAGTCAGGGAGAGAAGAGCACCTCAAAATCAAATCGCAGACTTGTGTGTGGGTGAGCCTTGTGAATTGTGAACAGAAGGACAGACCCTTGCCTTCCTGCCAGGGGGAAGTGCACATACAAAGGCCCATGTGTGAGGAAGCCTGTGGCACGTGCAAGACCTGTTAAGACATTCTGTGCAGGGCCCAAGGGATGCACAAGTTGTGTGTGTGTGTGTGTGTGTGTGTGTGTGTGTGTGTGTGTGTGTGTGTGTGTGTTTACACGCCCGCACACATTGGAGTGTACAGTGAGGGCCTTAGCAAGACAGTAAGTTACATGGAGAGGCTACAGGTCCTCAGTGGACTGATCGTACCGTCATTTAAACTTAACCTGGGGTGCACACACTCAGGCTGCACCTGGACTGTGTTTGTGGGGACTGAACCCCCTCCAGGGTGAGAAGCAGTGGTAACAAAAGCCAAGGACAGGCAGTGGGGAGATAGGGGTAGAGGGGAGGTAGAGGTAGTGGGGAGGTAGGGGTAGTGGGTAGGTGGGGTTATAGGGGAGGTGGGAAGTTAGAATATTTCTAACACAGAATCCCTTTCATTGGGTTTCAAGCTCCCAGGTGTGACTGTTTACTTCCAGAGCACCACAAGGGAGTCCTCAAAGCAGACAATAAAGCCACTCGGCTTAATTTAGTGAGTTTGTCTCTCTCTAGTGGCGTTCCATATGTCACCTGTTCCCTGGGGCACCCAAGTTGCCTTCTGCAACACAGAAACCTCTGTGCTCAGGCTGGGCAGAGCCAGCTCAGCCTTGGGGAGTATCATGGCCAGAGTGTGCACCTTTGATGATGGTTAATTGAAGTTTTGTGTTTCTAAATTCAGTATTGATGGTCAGAAAAGGAGGGATGCTTTTTCTTTCTTGTTATCTAAAGGAAACAGACATCTAAAACCCAGTCCTTACAGGTTGCAGCCAATTTTTCTTTCATCTAAAAACATGCACTGGCACAAAGCAACGTCGGTGCCAATTCATACATAAAATAGCATGTGCTGCCATTGGCCCCTGTGTCCATGGTCCGGAGTTGGTGGCTGTCTTAACCAAAGGATAAAGAGGAACTCAGTAGAAAATTCAAATGACAGGATGAGGTGGCACACAGGGCTGTAATCTCTGCAGTCCAGAGGCTGAGGCAGGAGAATAGTGAGCTAATCCAGGCTACATAGATGATCCTAGTCTGTACTACAGGGTTGACATCTTGGTTCAAAATAATAAAATAATAATAATGGTACAAAGACCAGGCTAAAGGTGAAGAGGCCCTGGGTTCACCCCTCAGGACAGAAAACAGTTTACATCTGTGATGGCAGATGGAGTGAAGGGACATGTCCTCCTACCTCCCCATAAGGGGTGAGACATGGACATTGGCCACAAAGGGAACCATCAGTGTTAGGCACGTGTGCTGTCAAAAGAATGCACCGGCTCCATGCACTGGGGGAAACTAGGCATCCCCTTGAGTCCAGAAAGGAAAGGAGTCAGTTCACTTGGGTTAAATCATGCTAAAGTCTTCTTCCAAGTGCAACATGACTAGGAAGACTCTAGCATGTTTAGCTGTACTCTCTTTGCCATCTCTGTGTTGTGGAATAATTAGTTCGGGATGTGTTATATTTATTTATGCTGTGGAACATTTATTTATTTATTTATTTATTTATTTATTTATTTATTTATTTATTTATTTATTTATTTATTTATTTATTTATTTTTGGTTTTTTGAGACAGGGTTTCTCTGTGTAGCTTTGCGCCTTTCCTAGGACTCACTTGGTAGCCCAGGCTGGCCTCGAACTCACAGAGATCCGCCTGGCTCTGCCTCCCGAGTGCTGGGGTTAAAGGCGTGTGCCACCCCCGCTCAGCTGGAACATTTGTTTAATGATGCAACAATATGTTGCATTCTTTTATGTTGCATTTGTTTAATTCTGTGAAGCTGTGTTACTTTGCCTGTCTAAAACACCTGATTGGTCTAATAAAGAGCTGGACAGCTAATAGCTAGGCAGGAGAGAGGGACAGGTGGGGCTTCCAGGCAGAGAGAATAAATCGGAGGAGAAATATAGGCCCAAGAGGAGGGAGAGAGGAAGGAGTGAGAAAAGGAGAAGGAGAGATGATGCCAGGGTCCAGCCACCCAGCCACACAACCAGCCACAGAGTAAGAAGGAAAGAAAGATATATAGAATAAAGGTAAACGGCCCAGAGGCAAAAGGTAGAGGGAGTTGTTTAAGTTAAGAAAAGCTGGTTAGAGATAAGCCAAGCCAAGGCCGGGCATTCATAAGTAAGAATAAGTCTCCGTGTGTTTATTTGGGAGCTGGGAGGCAGACCCCCAAACACCAAAGAGTAAAGAAAAAACAACTGCATCTCTGCTCTCCTTGTCCCTCTTTAGGCTGGTAGCCAGATGTGTATCAAGGTGAGAGAGAAGGGGAGTGTTAAGCTTGCTGGCTAAGGGTTGGACAGTACCCAGGCAAGCCCCGCTTGTCTGTGTGGGTCTTTGCTGTGAAGGTCCAAATCGGCTGAGGCAGCAAGTTAGAAACAGCAGAATGCACGCTGCAGGACTGACAAACAGCAGAATGCACGCTGCAGGACAGACAGGAGGAGAGCTGGGAGCCGATTTCATTTATCCCGTGTCCGCTGTGCTCGAAAAGCCCGGCTCAGCTTCCTTTTCTGTGGGCTCTTTGATGCGCACAGTGTCTGGTGTAAGAAATCTCCAGCATCACAGACACGGATGGGGTGGGGGTAGGGGCTGGATTGTTTTTATCAAAACAAATAATGATCTAAGTCTTTTGTAAGAGTCTCCTTGGGAGGCTTAGATTTCATGCTTTATCGTCTCTGCTTGGGTTATGGGCTGATCCTGGGTGACTTCAGCTACTTTAAAACCGAAGATCCCGAGACATTGTCGGTGAGTCTGTTTTTCCTGGATGTGTTGCTAAGGATCTCATAGAATTGTTCCTGAGGCCACAGTCCAGCTGCATTCTGTTCTCTGAATAAGCTACGGCACTCTAGGAGGCAGACAGGATAAAAATAAACAAGAAGAAAAGAAGAGACTAGAGTGGCTGATTGGCTCTTTCACACTTCTAATTCAATTTAATCCTCTCTGCAATTCCAATTCCGGGAGGAAGGTTTGCTTATCTGTTTTTCCTGCTGAGGAAACTGTGTAAAGGCAAGTAACTGAACCGCGGAGGGGTGGTGGGTGGGGTTCTATGCCAGACCCCAGGCCTTCTGTTTCTCTTCCCTCCCTGACTATGGGCAGAGCTTCCCTGTGGGTAAAATAAGCAGCACTTTCGTATTTAGGTCGTGTTATACAGCCCAAGAGTTGTTCAGGTATCATTAATTTTATTCCCCAGTTGACTGAGTTAATCAAAAGGGACACTGTCCAGATGCAACTGACTCACTATGGGAGGCCTTGTCTACAGAGTGAGAAATCTAAAAGAAAAAGGTTAGACCACTGTTGTTGTGGAAGAGAGGCACTCATGTGGAATACAGGTGACCTTAGGGCTGGAGAGATATTCCTATGTGAAAGCCAGCGACAGAATGAAGCTTCAGTCCTAAGGCCCTGAGAACTGACTTTGGCCAGCATCACATTGCATGAAAGCCCACAGTCTGGGCAAGAAATCAGCCTAGCAGACACTTTGGCTGCAGCTTTGTGAAATGGAGCAGAGAACTGAGCTCAGCTCTATTGGACTCCTGGCCTGAAGAAACCATGAGAAAAGTGATTCTTATTTCAAAATGAGTTTGTGCTCATTAGTTATGTAGCAATAGAAGGTACATGTGGAATGATGTGTAGCTGGAGAATTTCTCTCCAGCTCTCACCAAGTCCTGCCAGTCCTGGAGCCCACTTATAAAATAAACACACAGACTCTTATATTATTTAAACTGTTTGGCCACTAGCTCAGGCCTATCATTGTCTGGCTCTTACTCTTATATTTAGCCCATTTCTATTAATCTATACTTTTGAAAAAGAAGAAAAGGGGAAGTGCTGTGGATATCACTCTGTATAAATAAAACACTGATTGGCCAGTAGCCAGACAGGAAGTATAGGTGGGACTAACAGAGAGAATTGAGAACAGGAAGGCAGGGGGAGAGAGCTGTGAGTCGCGCCATAACAAACAAGATGTAAGGTACCGGTAGGCCACAAGCCACGTGACAACTTATGGATGGGCTAATTTAAGATATAAAAACAATTAACAAAAAGTCTACTACGGCCATACAGTTTGTAAACAATATAAGCATCTGTATGTTTATTTTATAAATGGGCTGTTGGACTGCTGGGGCTTGACAGGACCCAGAGAGAAAACTCTCCAACTACAATGATGAGCCAGACTTTAACGCAAAGGCTGTCTGGACCTCTGGCCATGCTGCTCCCCATGCAGTGGTGACCTCCCTCTTCCTCTCCATCCAGGAAGAGAAGAAAGGAATCAGTGGACAAGTGGATTCTGCAAGTGTTTAGTGAGAGCCATTCTGTGTGTACCTGTGGACTGGGCAGTGGACCTGCAAGACTGTGGAGACAGGATGGAATCCCAAAAGGGGCTGCAGACTAGCATGAAAGACAGATGTGGCAGATGGTGATCGTGTGGGAAAATCATGGCAGACGCAAGAGCAGTATACCAGGAGAGTGGGTGAGGACCAAGCTCGGATGAAGAAGGACTTTGAGCTTTGCCCTGAACCTGGACAGGAGCCAGGAGACATGCGGGAACTGCGTGTAAAGGAGTGGAAAGAGCCAACATATAACACGCGATATGCTTCAGTTCTGATGAGGAGCCTGTGGTTCCTGTGCTGCTGGGTGCCTGTGCGTAAGTGGGAGATGGGCAAAAACGTGGGGACAGGGGTGCAGAGAGCAGTTCATGCCACGATGTGGCAGGTGGGCCACTTCCTCTGTCCGGTGCTCTGCTCAAAGACCTCAGAAGCACAGACAGGCCACTCGCTAGACTGCATTCTCTACACCCTAAGTGGTAAACTATACAGCCTCAGGTGGCTCCGATTCCTTTTCAGTTCATTTAATCCATGAGTCATTCAACAAACACTCCTCATACAGCTTCTCTTGCTGATACTGTCAGGGTCAAGGGGACATAAACGCCCTCTCTTTGCTGAAGAATGGTGAAACTACCTTGATTATGGGTTGCAGGAGGGGTGTGGCGGGGAGCATTAGGAGGCTTTTCCCTGAGAAGGGAATTTGGCTCCTGTGAAGAGAGGCAGGAATAAGCCAGAAACATCAAAGCCTTCTTCTTTCTAAAGCATGCTGGGACTCCCTGTGCCCAGAGGACCTCCTGCTTTGATGAGTAACTGTCAGACTTCAGCGGGATAATGCACACGTTTACCAGAATCGGCCCTAGCTGGAGCTTGTGTCCTACTTAACTGGATGCTCCGGGGGAATCACCACACATCCTTCACCTTAATTGCACAATGGCATCTTTTTGTGAAAACTGACATGATGACATCATAGGCAACCAAGCATTTCAGGGGAATCTTGGGGAATGTGCTTTTCTCTGCCACAGATCTGATCTCCCTGCTCTGAGCTTTAGGGCATCAGTTTATTGTGAAGTATGAACAAGAAATGTGTGAGGTGTGATTGACTATTGTCTCAGTCAAGGAGCTGGTTCCTTTGGGCATTAGGCAGCTGTATAATGTCCACTGAGAGGCTTCAGCCTGTGTGCTGGACTCAGGAACAAGGCCTCCAAGAATATAAGTGAGGATAAGTGGGGTTAAGTTAGAGAGGACGAACCTGAACCTGGGCAGGAGGCAGGGAGACAGGCAGGAGGTACTGTAGTTGCTACAGCATGGTACCATAGGCTGGGAGGGCTGTAACCAGCTGACGCTTACTTCCTGCAGGGTTCTGGAGGCTGCCACATCTCAAGATGTGGGAGCCAGTGGGGCAGGGTTCCGGTGAGAGCTCACTTCTGGGTTGCACACTAATGTATCATGTCAAGGTCAGGACTGTATCAATGCAACCTCAAAAACAAAACAAACCCATGGCTCTTACTTCAAAAAGCGTAAGAGATATTTTATTTTGGAGCCAAATATGAATGACCATGACTGGGAGGACAAATCCAAGTTACCCCAAGTTCCCTGGTCCAAACTGGTAACAGTTCTGGTAAGTTTTTATAGTAACAGAACAAAGCAAATCATGAATCAGGACGTGTTGCAGATACATTGATGGCAACATCAAGAGATGGTGACAGCAGAGCAGGACAGTTTCTGTCGCAGGCCCAGAGGTTCCCTGATGACATCCTTGGCTTTGGGGAAGCTGGGAGTCTGTGGGTACATTTCAAAAAGATTTACTTAATAGTCAGAAGGTCAGGCACAGAGGTGGCCAATGAATGATTAATTAGAAACTGAGACAGCCCCCAAATAACCAGGGTCTGGGCCTGCACTATTCCAGTTCTCCAGTCATTGAAGCTGGAAAGTGTTAACACTGGTGCAGCTTTTTTCCCCCCAGAAACGTTAGTTAACAATTGAGCTTTGACCGCGTCCTTGAACATATTGCTACCCAAAGCAGGCATAATGGAGGTTAGAGATTCAACATACAGACTTCCAGTGGACACAATTTCATCCACAGCAACGGTTGTAAAAACATCCTGAACTCATGAATGATGTGTTTTAAAGTATGCAGTTGATTATAGATAAAAGATTATTGGCAGCCTATATATTAATGAATTAGTTTACAAACAAGAAAACCAAAACAACATCAAAAAACTGTGACTTGGATGTGGTGATGCATGCCTACAATCTCAGCACTCAGGAGGCTGATGCATCATAAAGAGCCTATACCTAATTAATTCATTAAAATAACAAAACTAAAATTGAAAAGCCCAGAAACCTCCATAGTTCTGTATGTTTAATGTGGACTTTTAAAAAGTCAGGTCAGTTCTTACTTCACAGTGAGATTACTAAGTCACCTGTCACCAGATGAAGCATGGCTGCCGAAATACCCCGGAACCTCTCATTCCCCCGGGTTTTCATCTGTTCCTCAGTGACCAGGCCCAGGGAACAGGACTTCCTGTGTACTGAGGCCGAGCTCCCCTTGCCTGGGAACCGTTAGACATGTGACCTCTCTCCCTCCCTGACACTGGAGGCTCTAACACCTGAACAAAAGATGGACCATCTCTGCATTTGAGGAGTAAGCCTACCACCTACTCTGGAGGACAAGGTGTCTCGGAAAAGCTACAGGTAGCTGTGCTGTGGACGAAGTGTCTCAGGTGCCTGTTGCTTCTCAGTCCTCCTGCAGACCTGCCCCTTAGGGCCAGACACCCATCAAGGCTCATCTTGCCCCAAGGGACTTTGAGCTCCAATTTCCTCTCCTGTTATTGACTCCTCCATGAAATGTGCTGTCTTCGGCTCTACAACTGACTTTCGCATAGCAGGCTGCTGGATGGTAGTGACTAACACGACCTACAGCTGGCTCCAAATGTAACAAGCTGTGCTCTGAGAACAGTGTCTGAATCTCAAGCAATCCTGACCAAAATTCACCATAATTGCCACTGAACTCTAATTTGTCTGCTCTACTATGACCAAATGAGTCACGTCATTTCATTTAGGAGAGTACCTCCGTATCTCTTCAGATGGGGTCAAATTTCTGCTGCTCTCAGCACCAGACACATGCAATGAAGAGGTCAGTTCCTGACCTGTAGGACATAAAACCATCTGGCAGAGGCAAACAGATTCTGTCTTCTAGGAGGAGTTAAATGTCACAGGGCTGTTGACACCTCAACGGAAGTGATGGGACTAAGGAGATCTCAAAGGAGAAAGGTGTACTTCTTCCTAGATTCTCAAGAGGACATCCAGGAATACTTCAGAGAGACATCCACCCCTGGGCATGTCGTGGAAATGGGAATATGAGATGTTCTCAGGAGGAGCCACACTGCATACAATACCTGCTTGTCAACAAGCTTGCCCAGGTCACATTGCTCCTTTGCTAAGAACTGCCATGTGACAGGTATTTTTCTAGGGACAGGGAATGTATCAGGGAATAAATTCAAGTTCAAGTGCATGATTCCTTCCAGTACTCAATACGCAGCACCATATTTTCTTTCTTTTTCTGTATGAATGAGTGGGTGTGTGCATGCTCATGTAGGGGGGCACACATGAAGGCTCACATAGAGGCCAGAGGTCAGCCTCTGTTGTCAACCAGCAAGGGTTGTCTGCTTTGGAGTTTTTGAGAGAGAGTCTCTAACTAGGACTCGACCGGTTACCCCAAAGAAGCCCCAGGAATCTGTCTGTGTCTTCCTTCCCTGGGGCTGGGAGTAGGAGCATGTGCTACCACAGGTGCAATTTGTGTAGGTACTGGGGATCGAACTCAGATCCTCAGGCTTGCCCACCAGGGGCTTTTATCACTGAAGCCACCTGCACAGCCTTCAGCACCATCTTTCCACTTCCACAGTGTTATTGACCATGCTTCTCATGCACAAGACATTTGGGGGAGTGTGGGATGACTTACGCGATGCTGGCCTCAAAATACTTGCCCCAGAAGGAAGGAGATCACAGGCAATCACATATAACTCTGTGACCTTTCACCTTTGCAGTGTTAGCCTTAAAAATATATGTAGCTCTTTTATTTTGTCTGTTCATTTTATGTTCTTGGTGACAAAATAGAAACATTACAACAAAACCAGAATCTTACTGACCTGGTTTTTAGATATTGATCCAAGTTTCGACTTACATTTTCTTATGAACAAAATAAAATGACTTCTGGCCCAAAGAGAGCTATTCTATTTCTATTCACATTTGGACCAGGTGGTATTGAGTGCCACTTGCAAAGAGATCTCTCAGCTTGCACACAGGCCTCTTGTGTTGTCTGGAGAGGGATGCAGAGTCAATACTTCCTTGGCTGTTATGTCAAGAACTTTTGTCACATGGATGTTTGAACGTCTGGATGTCAGAGAGGAAGCAGTGATGTGACATTTGTGCACTCTGTGAAGGAGAATCTTGTCTTTTCAACTGAAGTCAGCCTGAGCTGACTGAGCACAGGAGCAGCAGTGTCCTGGACCATGGGCTAGACATATGAGCATCAGCTCTCTGCAGCTCAAGGCCGGAGGCTGAAAGTGATGTTTCAAGCCCATACAGATAGCCCACCCCATGGTACTCCACAAATAACCAGAGAGATCTCTACACTACCTGCCTGGCTCTGCAAGAGAAAGTGTTATGACCCAAATTTCAAAAATTAACTGGATATAAAATTTGAACAACAGATACATTGTGTAAATTTTTTTTCATGGCAATGGAATCTAAAAACATATCCAACCCATAATGCATCACTTTGTTCATGAATTTCCAAGAGAAATAGCATGTAGGACACATGTTAAAGACGGCCACATAGTCTGTAGACCTTTGACCTGAATCCCCATTCAAACAATACCATCTGCTTGTCTAGGCAACAGCAGTTCTCCTTCCTTCCACACTAATTGAGCTCCCCTTGACAAACCCTGTGCACCAAACAGACATTGCTAATCAATTGTGATGCACTACTGTCAAGCCTTAGACTCTTTTTCAATACAAAGTTTCTAGAAGCCATTAATTCCTAAGATCAGTGTCAAGATTAAGACCATTCGACTGCTGGCTTTCTACGTCCTTATGCTATGGCTTGCCACTGGCTCCTCCTCTGTTCTATGTTTGGCTACACATCCGTAGGTTCCAAGCGTTGGGCCACTAAAGCTCTGCCATGGATTGCCTCTTCCTCTTGCTTTCTTCACTCTCACCCACCAGTGATGAGGGTGTGTCCATCTCTGGCCCCGTCTCTTCCCTCCCCCCTCTCTTTGAACACACCCTTCTAGCTGGCTTGTCATTTGTTGCTCTTGTTCTTAACCATTTTGCACTCCCTAGTGAGTTTTTTTTTTTTTTTTTTTTTTTGGTTTTTTCGAGACAGGGTTT